GAGCCGAGTCGAGTTCGAGTATTGTTGAGCTCAACTCGACTCGAAAACTCTGAAATGGAGCTCGACTCAACTCGAAAACTCAGGAGTTTAAAATTTTTAAGCTCGACTCGAACTCGAAATCCTGAATTGAAGCTCGTGAGCAGCTCGAAATGAAAAAAAAAATCTTAAACTTAACTCGATTGAAACCTCAAACTAAAACCTGAACATTAAATACATGAAAATCTTACTGTATTTTTTAAAAAAAAAATCAATAAATAAATGCTAATAATACTAATAATCTATTTTTTTAAAAAATAAAATCTTAATATATTATATTTTCGAACTGCTCATTAGTTTTTGAGTCGAATATCAAGTAGCTCGTTTCGGCTCGTTAAAAACTCAAGTCGAGCTCAAGTCGAGTCCATTCGATCAGATTATTTATCAAGTATTGGTCGAATCGATCTCGAGTAACTTATGATAACTGTCGTCTCATTTACAACCATTATGGGCGGGACATATGGTTGGGTAACGGCGGAAACAGCCAGTCCAGAAGCAGTTCATAATGCTCTTTAACTTGGTTGCACGGTAAAGGTCTTTTCTATTTTTCTTTTTCAATTTTTTTTGAGTCCGGGATTCACTTTTTCTGTGTAAATGGGATTTTTCATAAAATGGTCCAAAAAGAAAATAATACTTTATGGACTAAAAAATCTCAATTCTTGGCCTTAACCAGTAAGTAATAGTAACGTGGTATCTATACTTGTATTTATATTTATAATGCCCTTACATGCCTTCAAATACAGTGATTTATATACTCATTTTAAAATTCTAATTTTTATATTAATTATTTACTTTTAATATTTTTTAAATTTTATTTGTGTTCACATTATATATATATATTACATGACAATGTATTTGGTTTTAAAAAAAATATTTGTGCCTTACATACCTTGGACATTACGACCCTTTTGAGTTACATAGCTTGAGTACTGTAAACCCTAAATCATGTTATAATAAATTTTTAGTTCCACCTCTGCTTTCGACTATTGTCGACATCCTTTTGATGACCCCTGAACCACAGCTCAGGATTAGCCTTCAGTCTCAATCTTTAAAACTGAAGGTCGCCTGGGATAAATGCTTCAGGAAGATCGAGGTGGAAATGGATAACAAGGAAGCGGTTCGAATACTGTCCTCTCTGACCTCACCGTTTGAACCTGCTTTAATGCAGAGAGTTCGGAATCATCTCCATCAGCTTTGGATTGTAAAGGTCACACACATATTCCGCGACGCGAATGGAGCTGCAAATGCGATAGCTCACCTTGGGTGTAGATCTTCGTTTGACAGGATTGACCTTGCTGATTCACCAGCTAACATTCATCGACTTTTGCACTTGGATATGGATAAGTGGAGGAGAAGGACTCATTGCTGCCGATGTAGCCACAAAAAATATATATGTTATTGGTTCATCCAGTCATACTACCGTCAGGCAAGTGGAATTTCATTTATGGTGTTTTATAAGAAACGGAAAAATTTATGGATTTTATTTTTGAAAATTAAAATTAAACCACATGTTAAAGGTTGACCGATTGATAGATTTTTAACTATATCTTTTAACAGCTGTTTGTATATTTGAGATAATAACACGAATGACGTTAAATATATACATCGATCAAAAAATACTTTAATCATCTAAAGTGAAAAATGATATAATTTAGACTCTTTTTTCATTAAAATTTATTTAAATAATAAAATAATTTTCATATAATAATAATAAATTTTCAAAATTTTAAACCTAAATATAAAAATAATATTGTATTCTATTTTTACATTGAAATTATAATTCTGTTTATAAATATCTTTAGTAAGAGACAAACTCCACTGGTGGTGACGGTAAGAGAATATTAAAAGGGCCCAGCACACCCTGTAAACAACTGAAAAAACATAAATTCCCGCAAAAAATAAATATTGAGCTGTCGTAATTATAAATATATATATATTTTTATTTTATATTAATTATTATTCATAAATTTGATGTCACTTGGGAATATATTAAATCATACTTAGATGGTTTTTATTATAATTCGGAAGGTGCTTATGGTTGTTTTTAAGCTGCCAAAGATAAAAGTTTTGAGATATTGAAAGTTCAAATTTAAATGCTTTTCGGGTTTATTTTAAATATGTGTAAATTTGACGTTTAATCGATATTTTGAATTGAGTAAACATGTTTGTATTATATTTACTAAAGTATGAGTATCCGGTAAATACAAATATGAAATGTAAATATTTAAAGAAAATAAAAAGATCTGAATTAAAGACAACTCAGCTCTTCTGCAGTGTGCACAGTCAAGATTCAAAATAAACACATAATATCAGGTTGGTTACAGCTGGTGGAGAAGGTCAAAAACAGAGATTTTAAGTAAAGTATGTCAGCCTTCACGAGTCTTTAATGATGAATATCGTTAAATTTTATTAATTTAATTTATAAAATTTTAAAATTCTAAATGATTTGAAGTATAATTATAAATTAATTAAAAATTTAAAGATAAATTATTTAAAATTTTAAATTAAATTAATGATACTCTGTGATAATCATCGTTAATGATGTTTAACGGTACTCATATAACATTATAATTTTTTTTAATTTTAGAATAGCTTATGAACATCAACTTAACTTTTGACTTTATGAATACCAACGTGAAGAATGATAAAATAATCTCGAAAAACGTTTTAGTGCTTAAAAAAACTTTCGTTAAAAATATGTGTCTAAAGTTTTATCTGTTATATTTTTAGATGTCCACCGTTAAAAAACAGTTAAGTGACACATGTCAAGTCTATATTTTTTAAAAATAAAATATTATTTAATTAAATCTAGACATGACATGTGTCACTTAACGATTTTTTTTAAAGGTATGCACCTAAAAGTGTAATAGAAAAAACTTTTTACACATATTTTTAGCGAAAAATTATTTAGCACCAAAAGTTAATTTTCAATATAGTTTATACACTTATTTTTATATTAAGCCTTATTATTTTTTCTCATGGAATTATTATCCAAGTTGAATTACACGTTAATTATTTAAATTATAAATTTTGATATATTTTAGTACCTAAACTTTTAATTTTTTAAAAATCATATATAATATTTATTTTTTATTTAATTTTAGTACCACACCATTAAAAACTTAACGGACAGACTCGTCGACCGATGTGTCTACTGTCCAACCATCACATCCGTCAGCCCATGAAGATCAAACTTTCTAGCATGTTTCTTTTCGATCCACTGAACGTGATTTTGACCTACGTTTAACTGAAAAGTGCCTCAATCTCTCCAAATCGACTACAAATTCTTTGACTTCTTCATCCTCTGATCTCCTTCATCAACCATTCAATAGGCCTGAAATTAGACTATGGTGATCGACTCGTCATTCTCTCATGGTTCACTATTCAGATTGTTTGTCCATCCACCGAAGCTATACCTTGTTAGCTTGTCCGTTAAGTTTTTAACGACAATTTTATAAAATGAAACAAAAACTAAACATTAGGTATGTTTTGAAAAAAAAAAAATAAAAGTTTAGAGAACGGATCAAAATTGATATATAGTTTATATACTAAATAAATAGTTTACCCTATTATTTATAGTGTCGGCAAACTCATTTTGAATGATATATCGCAGTGTACGTAAACACTAGACCGTTGCAAAGGGAAATAAATGAAAACCAATTAAAATTATTAGCTTGAAAGGTACCTACCTATTCATCTGAAATATGCAAAGGGAAATAAATGAAAACCAATTAAAAAAATAATAATAAGCTTCTATTCGATATTACTAAATTCGTCTATGATTTATATAAAAATACGAGTTCAAATAAATCGTTAAACGGGTCAAGTATTGTTTATGATTCATTATCTGTAATTTAAATTCAGGATCCCTAGCTTCTGAAGTTGTCAAGAGATTAGGGCTTGAACTGCTTTTTTCTGTACCTGTATGTTGCACCAATTCCTCTTAAAAACTGATATAATCTGCCATGCCTATATGCGTTTTATTTCGTACATGTCAGCCAAAGATCTAATTGATTAAATTCAGCTGTAGTTTACATCTGCTACTTGAGCATTATTTCCTTAAAGGTTGGGTTGATGGACAATAAACAAGGATTAATTTGGTCTGATCTATGGAAACTAACCCTATCATAGTTGCAATGGGTGCAGCCATTGCCACATTACACATCACCTACTTATGATGCATGTGAGTATGCATTGGACCATGGATGTGTAAAATCAGTGAGCATAGTGGAGCTATGTTTATCAATAATACTCTTTCACCACAGATATAGTTCAATCTCAGAGGGATAAAGTTCATGAACAATAATTACTATATAAAATGGAAAATCATGAACAAGAATCAACTTCATTTACCGACAACACATTTACAGTACTAAAACACTGGAATAAACCATCATCAATAATTCGAGAAATTTCTTGGAATATTACAGAAACCATCATCCATCAGAATTTAGGAAAAAAAGGGGGAAACTGTCCTTGGCATCAAGGAAATCACTCGATCTGTATCCTATCAGTCAACACGTCTAAACCGGAAAAATGTATTATGTTTGGTTCTCATCGTAGTGCCTCGATCTTATTACCACGGGAATCCCCCTTATCATTCCTGGTTCGTGCTCCGATTTTCACAATCTCTGGCGCACCAATCCCGGTTGGCGGCAAATCTCCAGTGGGTCGGCCGGTAAAAACATAGGTTTGATGAGAAAACTTGGGTGGCTCAGCAATTAATGCAGTGTCCTACCTTCACTAATCAAGGATCCGTATAATAAAGCTTATCTGGGACATTAACCTTTTACCTTCAATTTGGTCTAATCTATGAAAACTAACTCTACTATAGTTGCAATGGTTGCGTTGCCACATTACATATAACTCAAATTTACAGTATGAAAACTCTGAAACGAACCAGAATTCATTGGAATATCCTAGGCATCAAAGAAACGATATGAAGTAACTTGATCTGTATCCAATCACTCAACACGTTTAAACAGGAAAAACGTACCGTGTTTGGTTCTCATCGTAGTGCCACGATCATGAATACCATGGAACGCCCCTTTATCTTTCTTGATTCGTGTTCCGACTGTCACCATCTCTGGTGCCCCGCTCCCCATTGGCGGCAAACTCTCCGGTGAGTTGGCTGGCGAAACATAGCTCTGATGATAAAACTTGGGTGGCTCAGCAATAGAAGTGTAACTACCTTCACCAACCAAGGACCCGTATCATTACACATTGCACCGAACTCTTCATTTTTTATACTTATTCATGTCTAATATTCATATATCTTCAACTTATATTCGAAATGAATATCAAAATATACTTCTCCAAATATATGAAAAAAATTAAAATCATACTGCAATGGATGCGTAAGTTGCACCCTTGAATATGAAAATGCAGTACTATAGAAACCATTATATACTCCATGAGTATTACTAAGTCATTGGATTATCATGAACATCAATTATGAAATTAGGAATGTGATCCACTTTCGTTCCGATAGTCACCATCTCCAAATCCCCGCTCCCCATCGGAGATAAAATCTCCGGTGAGTTGGCCGGCGAGGTTTGATAAGAAAACTTGGGTGGCTCTGCAATAGCAGTGTCAGTGTTGGTGTCACTACCTTCACTAACCAAGGACCCGTATCTTGCAACAAGAATCCCATCGAGTCCGTGGACTGCAAGGTTGGACCCAATGAAAAGATCCGGAACCGAGACCACTACCCCGTCGACTGTAACTGTTAGCAAGGCCGTGCCGTTGCGGGTGGACATAGTATGTTCCACAAAGAGTCGACGGTTAGGGAAGAGGGTGTCGATGAAGGTGGGGCGAGGGAGGACGAGGAGGTCCGCAGAGGAAAGGAAATGCGGGGCCACGTGGAGGAAGAGAGAGAAGGTGTAGAGTCGGGCGGAGGAGAGGAGATCGAGGGAGAAGAGGAGCGAATCCGGTGGTGCAAAGAGAGTGAATATGGAAGAGTTTTGGGACGAAAGGAGGCGGGCTTGAAGATCGGAGGTGGTTATGGCGTTGGGGAAGAGGGTGTAGCCTCTTGATTGGAGGGCTAAGAGCGCGGCATCCAGTTCTTTGGTGGTTAAACCGGCGGTGGCGGCGGCGGCGGCGAGGAGGAGGAAGATTACGATTGTTAGCTTGGATGAAAGGATTTCCATTTTCTGTTAGTTTTGGCGGGTGGATTTCTTAGTTTATTGGTATTTGCCATTTGATAGTAGTAGGTGCGGGTGATTCTACAGAAGTTATTATGGTCTTGAATCTTGTAATGGATTTCTGGCCGTTAGATTAAAAAAACCCCGTAATCCCTTATTTACCCTTCGAATTTTCAAGCTAGGCAGGTAGCACCAATTCCCCTTCAAAGGTAAGGTACACTGCATAATGTACACATGTTATAACATAAAAAAAACTAAATTATTAAAAGAGTTTAAAAGTAATTTATCCAAACATAAACTGATAAAAGGAATTAGTAAAACTTAAATTTAATATTAGAAACAAAGATAAATTGAGGGACGAGACAATGTCAGCATAAAAATTATAAATTCTCATATAATTTAAATATTATTTTTATTAATAATTTATTTTTATTCTCAAAATTTTATAAATTCACTTACTAACATTCATGATTAGAAAGATGAGTAAAAAAACTCAGCCATTGTGCTTACTCCAGCAGCATCAAATGGTCTTACACGGTGTTTCGAACAATCAACCATGCTTTTCGAGCTCTTTTAGGTATCCTTCCTCCTATCCTTTCCTTCCTTACTACTGTACCACGAACTGAGGATTTCCGATAATGGGCCATCTTTGCTGTCCACTCCGAGCTTCCGTTGTGGCCGTGATCGCTCTGAAGTTGAGATTTCCCCTTCGGAATCTGACATTTCGTTACCCCAGAGGGATGGTTCATAGTCGGGACATGTCATCTTTGGTTGCACTTCCTTTCTATTCGAACTCGTGTTCGAAACTGAGCCCAGTTCATCCCATGTAGAGTTGGAATCATCGCCCCCAGTTATCGATGCATCATGCAATGAACAAGCAGTCCTTCCCACTGTGTAGACACCCGTTTTTGTCCAGGTCTTTTTTATTATTATTATTTATATATTTATTATTATTATTATTATTATTATTATTTATTATTATTAAATTTTTGTGCAGGCCATCCCAAATACAACTCAAGCCCACCCGAGGCCCAAACCTGAAGCCCACCAATTACAACCAACAGAAGCTCCAGCAGACCCAATAGCCTGCCCCAACAACTGATCCAGGGCCCAACTGATCCAAATCCGACCCGTCCAAGCCCAATCAGTTGACCCATACCCGGTTAGGGTTTCACCCTAAGGCTCCAGCCGCCACACTTCCAACCGTTAGATCTGGTGAAGATCAATGGCCCATAAGCATCCAAGAATTAGGGTTTTCTAACCCTAATATATCAACATCAACGGCCAACACCAGCTTCCCAACCGTGAGCCAATCACCGAGCCACCAAGCCGAGATGTCCCGTCGCCGCCGACTGTTCCCCTGCATGAATAGTGACCGACATCTATCAACACTGACGGTTTCTCAACCAAATCAGCAATAGTAAACCTAAATTGAAAACCTATTTAAAAACGAAATAAATCCCGAAAATTCAGGATTTCACCAGCTAAATCACCATAATTTCCCTAAGTTCTAGATATCATCATTCAGCAACCACAACAAAAAGGAGAAGAGACAACCATTTTAAAGGGGACATTCGGTGATAACCAAAAAAGAAAAAGAAGAGAAAAATACGAGAGAGAAATATATTGGGTTTACAGAAAAAAGAGAAATCAGAGAGTCAAACCAAATTGAGAAACCAGCAAAAAGTGAAGAATAGAGAGAGAGGAGATCTCACCGTGGGTTCGAAGCCGGTTGGGAACACCAAGAGCCGGATTTCAAAGACATCGAGAGGTAAAGACCTTAGATCTAGTGGGCTAAGGTAGATTCTAGGTGAGACGGGTGAGGTTCTGAGTTTAGGAGATGAGAGGATGATTTTGGGTCTTGGCCGCGCTCCGGCCACCGTGGGCCGCCGCGCACCGCCGTGAGGCGTCACCGGCGGCGGAGACTCTTCTTCTCCCCGATGAGGAGTTGAGAGAGTTTAAAATCCCTCTCTCCTCCCTCGATTATCTAGCGAGAAAATGAGAAGCTTAGCCCGTTTTAGCCTTTAAAAAATACATATATAATTGAACCAAAACGACGTCGTTTGAAGGGGTCAGGGCCTACGTGTTTAGAGTTAGGGGATATTACAATTTAAGTCCGTCGCGTTTTGTAAACCTGTTATTAAGTCATTTAATGAACATTTTAATCTTTTATTTTGATCACTTATTCTATGAATGTTACAATTTAGTCCTTATTGGCCTTCAAGCGTGTATGTATATACTTTTGTTATTATCCGAATTTGGTCACCATATTTTATATTGTTTCATTTAAGTCACAATCTCATGTTTTGTGTATTTTCTTTGATGTTCAATTTGGCCATAGAATTCATGAAAGTTTATTTTGGCCACTGATCGTAATTTATTTGTTTTAGACTTTATTCCTTTCATTTATATCTTTTATTTTAGTCCTTGTTTTACTTTTTGGTTTAATTATTATTCAACCTTCATGTTTCTGTTTTAATTTCATCTAGTCCTAAGTATTATTTATGGCTTATTCACATTCTGATGTTTGTATTAGTTGTTGTTTGTGATTTGGGCCCTGTTTATTTTGTAATTACTTTTTAGCCCTGTTAGTTTCTGCTTTTACTAATTTAGTCCACTATGTTTATGTATTTCTATTTTAGTCCTATTAATGTATGTTATGTCATTTTTGTGGATATTTGACTTTGGTCCCAATGTTTGTAATAGTTTCATTTTAGTCCCTGATTTTATATGTTAGGTATTTTGGTTGATGTTCGAATTTATCCCTGACATTTGTGATTATTTTATTTTAGTCATTTATGTATGATTTTATTGTACTTGTTATTCAGTTATTTGTATTATGTAAATAATTTTTTAGTTTCATTTAATGTAAATATTTTATGTATTTCCAATTACATTTATTTTCATTATATTTTTATCTATGTATGAAATATTCGATTATATTTCAAGAACACGTATTTATAGAACGGGCGTGGAAAGTATCACTTGATCGAAGTGGTACAATCCAATACGACATTCGAATAAATGTGAACTTGAAATAAAATTGATTTAATTTGTTAATTAATTCTTTTATTCTAAGTTGAACAATGTGATGCATTTTATCAAATGGCAATCTATATTATTTTACACAACATCGATTTTCATTTTTATATTCAATTCGCATTTTTAAAAATAAAAGATAAATGAGGAGGGATATTCTTTAACTAATAAAAAATATTCGAGTTAGCTTTCCCGATGGAGGATTGCTAATTTTGAGATTTCTTTTCGTGTTAAAGAAATTTCTCCAATTATTTAATTCGAAGCAAATTAATCGTTGTTCGATAAATAGATTATATTTTAACTTTATATTCGATTTGTAATTTTCACCATTTACGACAATGTGTAAGCGACACAGTACCAATTTTGGGTGTAGGGGTGTATCCTTCCCACACGTAACCGACTCCCGAACCTGTTTTAAATGAACTTTGGTAACGTAGATCAAATTTTTGTCTTATAAAACATTTTTCTTAAAATTGTTTTTAAAAGACGTTTTAGGTATTCGACCTACCTAACCCAAAGGTCGATGGCGACTCATTTTCAATTTAATTTTAATTAATCCATAATCACCAATTTTTTTTAATTAAAGTCATAATCATTTTTTAAAATAATATTTAATTGTTTCACCTAAAAAATAGTTATGACACACTGCATGAGCATGACTGATATTTTCTCGAATGTTAGGGTTAGCAGTTTCCTGGCCTGAATTTCCTGGAACCGTACTTGCAGGAATTATAAAAGTCGACTCGATTTTGACACCGGGCATTATCTCCAGCAGAGATGACAACTTTTGGTAACCAAGGCCTTGTATATCGAGAGAATAACTATACCTCAAGAGGAACAAATTCTTGAAATTGCTGATGTTGTTCAATAGAAATAAAGGGAAAGTTCTCCTTTCTGTAAAATAAACATGAGCATATGCAAAATACAAACAATATAAACAATACAACCACAGTAGACGTCAATGCTATTCTGAATTCCGTCACGAAAGAAGGCACTCATATAAAAAAAATGTAAACTAAAGAATTAGTAAAAAGAACTATAGGGAAAGAATTAGAAAACCTAGTCCTAGACTGTGTGACAAGCAATGATCCCTTAGGCAAGTCCATTAAATTTTCCATGTCTTTCGAAAAGGAACCCTCAGTGAAAACCTCATGCTTTGAGGAATTAGTGTTTATTTTCTCGTTATTTTCACAGGACTCTTGCCTACTTCTCCAAAATTTACACCAGTTAGCAATACGGGTAAATAAACCTGAAGTCTTTCCTTTTTGGTTTTCACCTACGTCAGCACTTTGTTGCCAATGGCCTCGCATGATTTTTCCTCGCTCTCTTCAGCTCTTCTTTCAATGCTTCCTTTTCAGAGCAAACCCCAGTGCGTTTTTTCAGATTATTGTTACTTTGTTTCACAGAGCTGCCTTCAGAATCACTGTGTTTTTCCGTAACGCCATGATCTTTTACCTCAGCATTACAATTTCTACCACCAAACCATCTTTGCCAAACTTTTCTAAACAAACTTACTTCAGATTCAAAATCATGTTCAAGCATAGGAGCATGATAACTCTCAGCTACCTGATCATTAGATCCTTCAGCAATCTTCTGACCAACTGGAAGGGTCTGTTCAACTGCCCCCGGAGGCTCTTTTGCATTAACTTTAACAAAATCACCATTTCTTGGAGGAGTATGTTGCACATTTATTGGTGTAACAGTGTAACTCCAGCATTAATTTCAGGGGAATTCTGCAATCTGGACGTCTCGCTAAGAGACGTATCATCATTGCTTGAACTAGAACACACAATGAGCCCGTCTCTATTTCTACTTACAGTACCTTCAGATAAAGCTGGACTACTCTCAGACAGTTTGCCAGTTTTGCGGGTCACCCCACGTATGACAAACTGACCATCATGTGTAGACTGAAGCCTCAGGATGTGTGGCATGGATAAAAGAAAGCGGGAGAATTTTCTATACCCGTTAAAGTC